GCCCAGTGTGAAAAGGGCAGGTATGCAGAATCGGTTGCGAGTAAAATGTTGCACTAAAAATGTACTGTGTTGTTTGATAGCCTTGTGTATTATAGACACGAAGCAACGCAAAAATACCTTAGGTATTATGTTATGTGATACTGCATGAAGTTTCTGCACGGAGACGAGTCTTTGAAAAATTGCACTTTTATACCTGTGGACAGATTTTGAAGAGTACTGCTTGTTATTTATTCACTTAAACTGTGCGGAAAAAAGAATATTCGATTGAAATGGCGCGAACCAGCAGTTAAACAGAATATTGATAGCAAATAGCCGTGATAAAGCTCGCACCTCTGCCCGCGATATTAAAAAAGTTGCTCTCCACATGGAGCCGCATGTTGCGTCATCTCTGTCTCCGCTTTACTACTTGTGCCCGGCGAGTATTATACTCTTGTATTTACCTACACTAGTTGTAGGGGTACACCATATTTCTATGTACAGCATAAATAAATATATATATTTCTCCTAATAAATTAAATTTAATTTCAAAATTGTGCACTTTAATATTTAAGATTTTCGCAAAAAATCTTTGACCTATACAATTCTCCTGCGAGTTAAGCTATTTACAGTGTATACCATTTCAGTTTTAGTAACTCCTCTAAGTTCAAAATGGAGTGTGTTGTAAACCAGAAATCAAATAAATATAGACTTTAGAGACGAGTCGGTGCAAATCACTCATGTTTTATATCGCACTATATAAAGCAACCTTTCCTAAATTCTGTTAAATTTTGTTATTCCTAATTTGAGTGACTTTATACTATCTACCTTTCTTTATATTTAATACAGTAAGGGGCTTCTCTGTAACATACCTTTTTCACCCTTTCTGCTTAACCAATTCTTACGATCAGTTTCATTCTTATGATTGCGGTATCATTTTCAATTGTATGATCTCGTTTAGCTTTTCGCCCCTAATCATTGGTTTGTTTTCAAAGATACAGTTGTAGTGCTGCCAAACTTTCTTTAATAATGTAATTGCAATTCAAGAGCTGAGCCTTCAGTTGACTGAATCGTTGACTGTTTAACAACAGGTGGATTGTAAACAAGAGATTAAACAGTTCACGCAGATGAATTTTAAATAGGCTACTTTCATTGATGATTGTAGCCTGATTGAGGAAGCTCATTCACTCTTACTGGTGTAGATTTACGATCAACAAATTAAGAATAAATTGTAAAATAGTAGTTTCAATCATCTAATGATTGTGTAAAACATGGTAAAACCAACATTTTGTATGGTAAATGGTATTGCATAATTCGTTTTCTTGAAAATGAACCCTGTTAAATGCGCCATTAGCGCATAGCTCTCTTCGTATTAGTATTGTTGTGCTAATGAAATATGTTCATTTCTCAGGGTAACCTTTTATTCCATACAGAAAGCACTGTGATATAATAAAGACTGTAAAACTAATTTTAAGAAGTACTTAAGGTAGAGAGAAGGTAAACCTCAGCAAACAATGGTTCGTCTACATTTCCATTAGCCAAATGAGAGCGGCATTGTTCAGTCTCAATGGACAAAACGCTCAACAGTCTCGCGCACAAGTGCCTTATAAACTGCACCGAGCACCGCGCGGCACAAAGAGGGCCAGTGCGTGGCGACGGCGAGGCGTTTTGGTAAATCTTCAGTACAGCGGTGATTCATAAACGTACCAATCGTGGTTTCATTTACAATAGCAGAAATAACTGGGAGAAATCTCAGATGACGTTTCTCAATATATTAGATACATTAGGTTAGCCATTAAAATATAGGTCAATTACATCAACATCATTTGAAAACTATTACAAGTGCTCTCGCAGTAGGCTGACGTGTTTGGAGCGAATTACAGAATAGACAATTTAAACGTGTATCTTGGAGATGTTCAATGGTTGGTTGAGGGGGGGGGGGCAAGGGGAGAGGTCGTGCATATCAAACTGATCTGAGCATTATTGAGGTTTCCGAATCGGACGATATACTTTGCCGTTATACGATCAAAATGTTTCCTTAAAGTTAAATCTTCTTTAGACAGCGTTGTGCATTTCAAATTTCCTTTACACATACTATTTTACATTTTATATTCACATTTTATTGTGATATCTCTAAACTATTTTGGAATAAAAATATAAAGGGAAGTGTGAACGTTTATGTCTTTTACGTCGTTTAAGCTTAGACTAGATAGCTCACTTCTCTTGTGGGAATCACACAGCGTAATATGTCGGAGTGTTTTACAAGAGCTATCGTACACAAAAGGAAGTAATATGTACGGCAAATAGTTTAGTTTCCCTTGTCCTGAAACCCATATACTGACACCGCATATAACTCGTAGGTAGTTTTTTAATTAAAACAACCAAAAACATAATCACAAGACCGTGGTTTTGACTAGTGAACTTACAAACATACGTTAACAACGCCTCTTGCAAATAAGCATACAGATAAAATATTTAAATCAATTGTAGCCTAAGATAATGCCTGTCTACATTTATAGAAAAAGTATGCGAAAAGGTCAAATGTAAATAGCGTAGGTGCTTATCTCCTCGCCCCGTCGTGATCCTCCATTCCACACGATTTCGGAGAAAGACGAGTATATACATAGCGTAGGTGCTTATCTCCTCGCCCCGTCGTGATCCTCCATTCCACACGATTTCGGAGGAAGACGAGTATATACATAGCGTAGGTGCTTATCTCCTCGCCCCGTCGTGATCCTTCATTCCACACGATTTCGGAGGAAGACGAGTATATAGATAGCGTAGGTGCTTATCTCCTCGCCCCGTCGTGATCCTCCATTCCACACGATATCGGAGGAAGACGAGTATATACATAGCGTAGGTGCTTATCTCCTCGCCCCGTCGTGATCCTTCATTCCACACGATTTCGGAGGAAGACGAGTATATACATAGCGTAGGTGCTTATCTCCTCGCCCCGTCGTGATCCTTCATTCCACACGATTTCGGAGAAAGACGAGTATATACATAGCGTAGGTGCTTATCCCTTCACCCGTTGTGATAATTTCACAAGATTTCGGAGAAAGACAAGTGTATAAAAAACGTAAAATTTAAAATATCTTATAGGAGTTTACCTATCCCCTCTTACTTCTTTAATTCCATCATTCTATAACATCCTTACAATTAAAATCGCCTGTAAAAAATAATATAAGTTCTCATTTCTTTATGCAAACCACGAATACTTGAACAGGTATTCGTGAATGCAAACTATGTTCACATGATTATTGTACAGCATCTATTGATTTATACGAATGATAGTTAAGTTGCATAGTAATAATAGGTTTAAGTCCGTATTCTTTTCTTACAAAACTTTATAAAATGTTTTATTTAAGATGCAAAACGTACAGGGTTGAATTGGGTATCTCATTCATGCTGTATTGATACACTCTGTGTCCAGGCCACTCACCGTCCTCTAAGGTATAATTAGCGAAGATCATTAGCCCTTCACTGCTTCACTAGGGAGTGTAGGAGCGCTGGCGACCCGGCTTATCGAACTCGTAAATTAAGGGGTCATTAGAGTGTCGAGGCGAGTGGAGAAGACTACCTGACATAAGCCTATTCTCCCCAACAGTACTATACCGGGTATTTCGCTGGGAGAAAGGGGTGGTCGAGTAAAGAGGGGTGGAAGAAGGAGAGAGAGGGTGAATGTGAGCTGTGGCGAGAGGAGAACAACACGAGAGCGTGGCCGTGTGTTGTATGCACTACAAGTAGATGCAAAGTAGTTTCTAAACAGAAAACAGAGCTTCCAAGAAAGTATCTATTGATTGGCGTTTGAAAGTTAATACTAATGCTAAAATTATAGATCTTTTTTTGTTATATAATTTTAAAAATATATGTGTAGCCTATGAAGCGTATATATACAAAAATATTCTTACCTACAGTTGGATTTTTTAGCTAGAAGCAGTTAAGGTGTGGTGGAATATCTTTGAAGATAAACCTATTTAGCTGTAGTACGATAATGTGTTTATATGTGTCAAATTTTGAGGTTAAATCAAAACAAACAAACTGGCATGTTGGCAATTAATAATTAAGTATTTAGAGGCCGTTTTGTATTACTTACGAAAGAATTGCCATTTAAGATCAAATGAAATGATTAAGTATATTTCATTGTTTAATTTATGCTTGCTTCCTTGGCCTATTGTATAATGTTATCCTGTTTGTATGAGGTGAACTTATTTGATTAGTGATTGCATTAATGAATTATCAGCAATACAATTAGCTGTTAATTATAATTTAAATGGGTCAAAACGTGAGTCTATAAAGGTTCATCTCGTCATCTCTAGAGTATTTAATTCTGATCTCTAGCATGAAACCCAAAAGGCGAGTCTATGTTTAGATGTTAAGATATTTCAAAACTAGACGTAAATCATAATTACTGTATGTCCCAACGGTTATTTTATGTGTATCCCAGTCACAGCAACCATATTATTCTATTAATATAATGATCGAAATTAATAAACTTATGCAAGAAGATTCAATATTTTAATACTAACTCATATAATTAACTATTATCAAAGCAACCATCACCTATAATTTGGCGGAAATAATTAAGTATCAACTTATTCATTAGCTGATTTGGAATTAGGAATCACGTCTCTATTTCACAGTAGGCCTTAATATTCTATTCTGTATATTGCCAAGTAGTTATATAAAAGTAGGCTAGAGTAAGTTTAAAGTATATTTAACTATTGTCAATTCCAAGAATTATTGTGTCAGTTTGTTTGTTTTTATTTAACCTCAAAATTTGACAGGTCTGAACACATGATCACACTAGGGATTTACTCAAGGGAGGTACAGAAGAGGATTCGATGACGTCAGCTGTCAGAAAAAAAGTTGTTGACGTAATCGATTGAGCGATCTGTTGAAGGTGGAATATCGTACTCGTACTAAGTTTACCACTATCGTATCGTTTCGACTTTCGTTATTGTATGGCTGTCGGCTGCCGTTTGTTTATGTTTATGTGCTTTCCTCATCACTCTCCTCCTTCACTTCAACTAAGTTACTAAGTTTAAGTTTACTACCTATTTATTTATAGGCCTACATACAGTTTAAAGTTAAAGGTAAGTAATTATTCCTAATTAACTTTTGAGGTATTAATAATTAGGCTTAAGTTATGGCTATTTTTAATTTGTATTTTTATTATTTATTTAAGGACCACATGATAGTCCAAACCCAGAAAAACCTAATCTTAACCTGATTTGCTTAGTTAATATAGGCATAGGCTAGTCATTGATTTGTGTTTGTAAAAGTCAGGCCCAGAGTAGGATGACCAGGTTGTTTCAGAATAAAAACAGGACATTCAAAACAAATCTCGGCCTCCCCCGTAACTTACAACACACACCTGAGTGTCTAATTAAATTACACAGAGGGTCTCTTATTTGCTAATTTTGTTGAGGTAGAAATCAAGTACGTTTAGGCCCTTTTATCAACCTGTTTTTAAGCTTTTAGACCAGTAAACTTACCTAATCTTATTTTCCATTAAAACTTATTTACACATCACACGATTGTCATAGTTGTTTAAAAAATACATTAATGGCATGCAGCTAGGGGCTAGGCAAGGTAAATACTTTTGTGAATCACCACATAGGCCAACTGAGAATAAAATAATCCAACAAAATTTTTAAGGGTTTTAGATCTTAGGGTACAGTTTCTTAACTGGGCTATGCTAATATCGATTGAAACTATCAATTCGATTAGCAAACTTTCATGCGATTTTTTCACCATCAGCAAGTTTGGTTTTTTAGTTTAGGTTATGATAGTTTAATTTTATAATAGATATATTTAAAAAAATTTAAAATATATTAAAAAAAATATATAGGCCTAGGCCTATTTTAAAAATATCGATTATTAATCAATATTTCCAATTCGATAGTTTCAATTGATATAAGCATAGCCCAGTTAAGAAACTGTTCCCAGATCTTATTACAAGATTTATTACGGGTACAGTTTCTTAACTGGGCTATGCTAATATCGATTGAAACTATCGAATTAGAAATATTGGTTAATAATCGATATTTTAAAATTTATCTATTATAATGTAAAATTAAACTATCATAACCTAACCTAACCAACCAAACTTGCTGACGGTGAAAAAATCGCATGAAGGTTTACTAATCGAATCGATAGTTTCAATCGATATCAGCATAGCCCAGTTAAGAAACTGTACCGTACCCTTTATTACTAATAAAACATAGGTGGTAATAGCCTACCGGTATGTGAAACTAAGTTATTGATTTGAAGTATCATGAGCATCTTAAATTTAATTTTGTTATCTTTAATTTGTATGCTGGGAATAAACTTAGGCCTACAGTTAACTTATAAATTACAGAAATTCTTTCATAATAAACTAAAAAAATGTTTTCTGTTTTGTTCTAAGAATAACTTGCTCACTTGCTTAAGAATAACATTAGGTTAAGTTATCCTTTTCGCAGAGGATACGCAACCGGGACCGTGGACGTGGATTATGCGTCCGGCAGTTAAGTGCCTACAGTCATAACCTAACCTAACCAACCAAACTTGCTGATAATGAACAAATCAAATGAAGGTTAAATTCTGTTCATAAAATAAAAATAAATGCCAAAAATTCTAACCAAAGATGTACAGTTAAGAAGAAATGGGATTCTAAAAATCTTTGACAAAAAGTTAGTAACTTCTAGGGCCTATCACCGATGTGATTCGATCTAGATACATCATGTACATCAGCCATGTACTTTATCTACACACCACGAACACCAATGGCTAAATATCGTATCGTTGTGGAAATGGTGTTCCGGTCCCCCACAACCCGGTGACGTCAATGCCGGGTGCCTAAGTAATCCACATTCGGTTACCAGACGCGTATCCTCTAATCTGCGTTTTTTTTTTTTTTTTTTTTTTTATATAAAGCAATAGGCCTTATTTACTTATGAAAGTTATAACCAAACAAATTGAAAAAAAAACCAAAGTGAACTTAACCAATTTCAAATAATAATAGGCCTAAGTTAATACTATCTATAACCCTCTAAGATTTAGCCAATACATAGTGTAGGCTAATTGAGTTAAAACTTTGATATTCAAATTCATCGCCTCATATTACTATATTGGTGTTTACAAACAAGTCAATCTATTGATTACCGGTACCTAAGTTATTTCACCTTCAATTAGTTACGGTAATCATATAGCAATAATGGTACATTCATTGAGTAGACCTAGGCCTATTTAATGTAAAACAAAAGTAAGAATGTAATGCATAATACGCTATGGTTGACGCGCCGAGACCCTGAGTCCTTATCTAACCCAACCCAACCACAATGCAATAATATCATTGTTTTAAATTATTCAAAAGTGTTATTATCATTAGTCGTAGAATCAAATCCAATCAACAAATTATAAATATGAACGACTAAGATTGATTAGTAAGAACAAAGTAGGCCTAACTTACTTATAGACTAAATTTTGTGTAGGCTACTTCAATGTGTATCGGCAATCAAACTGTCGATGTGTTCACATTTTGTGTTTTTCATACTAACCGATTAAACTGTCAGCACATGCAGGATCCCGGAACATTTACATTCGAAGATAATGTGTGTTTTTAATAACTTAGCTGATTTGTTGTCACGTCAATTTATTACACGTTCTTATTAGAATATTTTGAAATAATGCCTTAGGCCTATGCAAATATTTAAATAAAATGAATAATGTTAAACTCTACTCTTTGACAAGCAGTCCTGATCATTCAAGACCCCAGCATAATTAATATTGACTACAATCATACCGATAATTAAGTTAATCTATTATATTTGTTTCAGGGCAAAAAGTGCTGCTGTCGCAACCATCAATGATTAGGATTGGAGTGGACGAAGAAACATTTATTTCCATTTTATTTGATTTTAAAAGTTTTTGTAATTTCTTTACATAATTTGGTTTTAACTTGCATAGAATATAATAAATAGTTTTGTCTAAACTTTGAGTTTTTATCCACCAAAAGTTGAAATAGATAACTGAACCAGACACTTTGTGTGTCACCAAAGATTGCGGCTTTTCACTGTTTTAGTCAAATAATCGTAATGTCCAATTGTACATAAATCGAATTACAGTTTTATATCAAATTGATCATCAATTGGACTAAATATACACATCAATGTTTGTGACGTTTGTACAATAATTGAACATTAAATAGTCGTAATTTGTACAAACATGAATGTGCATACGATGTTCAGTTGAACATTCTTGAACATCAATTTAATGTTCAATTGATGTACATGTGTTATATGGGTAGGAACATATTAAAGTGATGCAAACAAATGTTATGTAAACGGTTAAGGCCATTTACCAAATAAAAATATAGACATATGGAATATCAAAATGAAGCTTAGAGTGTGTAGATTTTCTGAAAAGTTTTGATATGGACAAACTCCCTAAGAGGTCTGCCCCACAGACTGGGGGCTACGCCTTGCATGTTTTGGAAGTTAACTTTATTTGAGTAATTTAGTGAACAACAGCTGGCCAATGCAATTTACAATATAGTTTGTTGGTTTATGTTCTTAAAAGAGGTGCGGTGAATAGACAGTGAAGCTATCTCTAGCCGTTTGATACAAGTGAGTGGTTAAAGGTGTTTGAAACACGATGAATATGAGATTAACAAACCATGTATGTCGTTCGTTCCAAGAGGTTGAAAACCGATTTTTAACAGGTCGCCATTTCATTGACAAGTATTTAAGTAAAGTATTAAAGACGTGAAAGAGAGCGGCGAGTTCAGGTACAACCCTACCCACCTTAGGACGTAAGGTTTGAAGGCTCCAATGCTTTTTTACCATCCTTTCAGATAACAATTTCTCGAACTTGGGCCCTTTAAATGAAATATAAAGTCAAAGTTGATTAAATTAATTTAATGGTGGCTTCTGTACACCCGTGAACCGGGTAGAACCTCTTATATTGTTAATAGCAGTTTTCTTAGACTTAATAATATATTTTATCTAACAAAGTAATGTACTGGTAATGTCAAATCTGACGTGAGAAGCGAAGAGAGGATGATATGTTGTGTAAGTGCCGTATCTTTTCCTGCAATTTCGTTGATCCTTTTTATTCCAAAAACTACAGTTTGAAACTATTTTATGCCAAATTTATTTTCAAAGTTAAGGTAAGTTTTTTGGATCTATTGTGACTCATACAAATTAGTTGGGGTCTATTATTGTTTTCAATTTAGGATTGTTGTTATCTTGCACTAGGCCTATATCATTATTCTGGTGGAAAGGTTGGTGAGATTTACATCCCTGGGTAAATCTTGACACCATCTTTGACCAAATGAAATTATTTTTACAGGAATATTATAGTAGCCTACCCGTTATAGCTTGCCTTCGATTAGGTACGTTAGGTGTAGCCTACCTATACATTATTCAAAATTCTTTATTGGGAGGATACAACTTAATAAAAAAAGCAAGACTTGTCCGCTTTAAATTACCAATAGTGCTGATTTATTAATGGCATTCTTAAAAATTAACTCCAAGACAGAAACTGGCCTAAGTTATTATAAATTGGCTTTGGAACCGTAATGAAAATGAATGCCTTTGAACCAGTCTTTAAAAGCTAAACGAAAAAGGGACCTAAATAAACCATTTTTTGCCAAGTTAACCAATCATTTCAAGCTAAAGATTTCTATTTCAACCGGTATATTTAACATAATTGATAAATGATTGATCTTATTTCATGGAAGCCCCTGAGTCTAAGTTTGGCAATGTTTTTGTAAATAGAGTATAAGCATGGTATAGTTAATACCATAAAGAACACTCAAACTGATTAATTTTTATTTATGTTAATACAGTATGAGTATGTTTCGATAGTGAGGGATTTCGCGGTATATTCCATATACATATACACAACACACTGTCAATTTTTTCAAGTGTCTGTCGTAACATAACCACAAACCAACCAGTCCGATTTCCGATTACCGATTACGATGACGTAAACGTAAAAACGTACGACTACGATGGGCAAATATCGATTGTAGTAGGATCTATCGATTATATCGATAGTTGGCGACTGACGACTCGAGTACTCGACCGAATCAACGATGACGTCATGGCCTGCTGTGCTCTCTAAACAGCGCTGTTCACGGAGGAAATTTGAACTAAATTTGCCTCATTTGTACCTCCCTTCAGTCAGACCCGATCACACTACTGCCAAATAGGTTCATCTTCAAAGATATTCCACCACACCTTAACTGCTTCTAGCTAAAAAAATCCAACTGTACTTGTTATAGGACTTTATTAAAGAACCTGGGCAGCGTTAGTACATTGGCAATCGAAACATCATTATATACCGTACTGATATTATAAAGCTGTAAGTGTGTGTGTTCGTTATTTGTTTAGGACTCAATCAAGAAATGACTCGAATTGGGTTTGAAATTTCGCATGATGATAGATCATTTTATAGGCTTATTATTATTCATATTTGTGTAACTAGTGGGCGAAGTGGCGCATTGTTGCACACGAGAGAAATGTTTACGCATGTTCCGTGGGCGAGTGTTGAAAGTTTATCGAGTGCGGCAGAGGTAGTTTGCACTCGTGTTACACATTATATTTTCCCTACAAATCATATAAATAGTTAGTCCTTCAAACATTTTTTTAGGTTAAGTTAAATCCAAACATCGAACGAAATGGGAAACACTGCACCTTCTGATCGTAGTCGTAAGGCTGTGGTTTCCTAGACGCGTAAAGATGTGCCGCAGGGCTTTTGTCCAGGTCCCAAAATGCAGCTGCCGTGAGTGGTTTCCTAGACTGCGTACAATACACATGGTCGGTGCGTAAAATAAGTTCACGGGAGAGATAACTAGTGGCTACTATGATGTTATACGATGATTTAGATAATGAAATGTATACTTTGGTCAGTTTCGAAGAAGCGTAAGCAGTGAAAAGTACATGATTAGGAAATGTACGTGGCCCTGGCGGAAGTTTAAACCGTAATATTAAAGCAAACATGTCAATTTAAAATGTAAAAAATAAATTATAATTTAACCTCTCCAACTTTGCTTTAACTGTTATTATATTTAGGCCTACCTATTCGGAATTTACCGAATTTACGAAATACTGTAGTATATTATTTACGAGTATAACTGCAATAAGCATTTCATACTTACGCCAGCCCCGTAAGAAGGACGGGTACTCTGCTAGTAATTAATATACTGTAGGATTATTACTAAGATGTTCAGGGGTTCTTAAAATAATTATGGGGGCTCTTATATTTGGGAGTTGGTGTTGTGCTGGCTTGAAAAGAATATTTGTCAACATTAGGTTTATTTACAAATTACAAATATGTGAGGACAAATTAAGTGTAGGGAACATTTAATAAGGGAATTAAATATTAAAATTACACATAATGGGGAAATTAACACTACCTAACGAATGATAAGAATGTAATACTATAAAAATTTTAATTGTATGAACAACGTACTTCCATAATATGTCATTTCAACAGACAAATTCAATCTTATAATAAAATAACGTACTCCCGCCGCAGTAAACCTGCAGACTAAGCTAATTTTCGCTTACCTAGCAAGATTTACACAAAAATATTCCCTTAAAACTGTCTAATGATAGTGATTTAATGATTACCTAAGTTTGCTGCTAAAGTGATAGTAAAGAGGTGTGTTTGCTGGTTAAAATGTCGATAGCTTGGTATGAAATAAACAAATTTCCCCGATTAGTATCCGTCAATGAACAAGCAAACTACAACAGTTGATTAAAAAAAAAAAAAATAATAACAAAGAGTAATATTTACTTTACCATTTTTATTGAATTTTATCTCCCCGTTAGGCGTACAACCAACGCTTTGTGGTACTAAATGATTTTTTTTTATAAGCCCTACAAAATGGTTTAGAAAGAAATAGAAAAACTGTATGTTTTAGGGTCAAAAATGGGAAATGCCTATTTTATTATTTAACGAAAGTTTACACGTTTATACCACATTTTATCAACATCAGATTATATTTGCTTGAGTTATCGTGCTGACGGACATATATCTAAAAATGTGGACGGGTGGTGTTTTTGGCTGTTATGACCCTTCAAAACGAAAAAGTAAATCGGTCCTGGGAGTCTTACAACGAGATCTCCAGTAATAGCTAATAGCCTATACCTTTGAATAGAAAATTCGCTTAACAAACTGATCAATCTGTACGGAAACAATAGAAACAAATCAATAGGCATCATTAAACTATTCATCCAAACCCGCGTGATCTTCCAGAGACCGCTCATATATAACTAATTTTTGTTTCAAGGCAAAGCACAAGAAAATTCACAACCGAATGTTGTATATGCAACACTAGTTACTAGGCCTGCGTTATTGTTTTAAATTTAATCATCATTATTTAAATACTTTAATTATTAAAGATACTTTTATTGTGAACTCAACCAGGTATATAAAACTATTTATTGTTCTTATGAATTTGATTGACTAAATAGATGATAAATTATATAAAACAATATTCACAATAACAAATATACAATAATAATGAAGTGATAATAAAATTCCCAAAAAAACACAGCTAAGTTTTTGGTTTTTATTGTAAAATAAAACAGTGCACTAAGGGAGTAGAAAATATAAAGGCTAGAAACAACTATGTATTAGAAACTATTTGGCAATTTCCTGAGCCGTCCATATATTACTCATGCTTAAGTTTGATTTAAGACGGAAATAGCTAGCTCATTTCCTGAATCGTCTTTATGCTATTACTCTAGTGATTCAAAGAATTGGCTGCAATACATTTTGTTTAACTTAATATCTCAACAATAAGAATTCAATTCTAGGAAGGTCACTATCCCATCAGTTGCCCTCTCAGTAACGGAAGTGTTTCCTCCCCAAAGCCATTGCCCTTTGCACCCCTCCCCCCACCGGGGCACCAAAGTCATTCTCTTCTCTTACCCACGGGTTAGGTACTTTTTGGGGAGAGAGGTATTCTTGGGGGGAAAG